GGTTGCGATCCGTTGCCGGACACGAAAAAAGACAAAAAACAAAAAAGAAAAAAAAAAAAAAAAAAAAGAAAGCAGGTCAATGAAATGTGCAGTAAATTCTCTTTATAATATAAAGTTTCCCACATTCACGGTTATAACAACAAAAATCAGACTGACAGGAAAGAGACAACACTGTGGTTCTAGAGGAAACTGACCTAAAACAAATTATTTCATCTCTTTGGTACATATCTACAAAACAAAGAGACCTTTAGAGATCAGCAATTTCCAAGCTCTACCTTTGTAAAAATGTAAAAAAAAAAATAAAACGTTACATACCCCAAAGTTAACCGTTAAGATACAGCTGTTTCCAATACTTGACTATCAGTTGACTCAACAAACTACCCTCATCCTGCAGCACTAGGTTAAACGATTTTGGGATCCAAGTAAAATATCCCACCTCCACATTCAATCATGTTATGGAACCTCCACAGAAAAGTGAAGCTTATCAGAGAAGCCCAAGAACCAATTACCTGTATTATCTTCCTCCCAGAACATGCTATTCCAAATCACATTCCCAACACTTAATTTTATAGTACATTATTTTAAATCTGCAATATCTCATATGTTGATAAATGGTTACAATTTATGACAAATTCTGGGAAGCTGTCCCTGACCTGACTTCCCTTCCATCTTATAACATTTAAAATTCTTTTTTCTTTTTCGGGCAGCTGGCTGGTATGGGGATCCGAACCTTAAAATTGTTTTCAAGTAAGATTTGTAATTGTGTAATTTGTCAGTCAACTAATCCCAACTTGAAGAGCCTGGAGTACAATAAATCACATCATTTGCAGTGCTGAGGACATATCTAATTGGGTGCAGAACTGTACCACAATTACCAAATGTCTAAGAATGTTAAACCAAATTTTTATTTATGAATTATATATCCATTAAACTCCCTCCCTCAAAATGAGAGGAATATATATATATATAAAATCACCCTCCAATTTAACAAACTCAAGAGCCAAGGGTTATCTTTCAATCTCCAGCTTTTATTTAAGTGCAATGATCCAGAATGGATTTTAGATCTTGTTGAAAGCAGCCACATCCATGGACTGCACATAGTCCTCAAAAGCAGTGATCTGCTCCTCCAGCATATCTGTTCCAACTTTATCATCTTCAACAACACACTGTATTTGCAGTTTTTTAATTCCATATCCCACTGGAACTAGTTTAGCTGAAAAGAGCATTAAGAAAAATCTTAGTTAGATAATAGATAAGTCCTGTTGATCCTTAAGTTCAAACTGTATGAAAATTTCACATGTCCATTTCAAAAAGCAAAGATTATAACTCACAGGAGCCCCAGACCAAGCCGTCTGCTTGAATGCTTCTGACGCACTCCTCTAATTTTGCCATATCTGTCTCATCATCCCAGGGTTTCACATCTAGTAAGATGGAAGACTTGGCAACAAGTGCAGGTTCTAAAAAAGAAACAGCATTATTAAGATAATTATATTTTTTCACCCTAGTCCAAGATACTTAACAAATTTTCTCAATTTGTTTTGAAATGTACCATCTCCTTAGCCAGACAAAACTACAGAAAACATCTTGTGTCTGTCACACACATGTCCACTTTCTGTTTTGCTAAGAAAGAGGTGTTTAATCGTGTAACAGTTTCTTTCCCACAGAGGAATGCCACAACTGCCATCATAACAGCTGCAGACCAGTAGCTGTGGAAGTTTCAAGAGGAAGAACCTTTACACAAGACTTTTGATGGAAGAACCAATTCAAAAATGTGGAGGAAGTTACTTTGAGGTCATGCTTTGAAAAAGATTTCTCACATTATTAAGAAATGAAGTTAAATAAACACAAATTATAAAATGACCTACTTTTGGCTTTCTTTGATTCATACTGTGCAAGTCGTTCTTCTCTTAGCCTCTTCGCTTCCTCGCTTTCCTGTAAAGAAAAAATTTAATACATTTTTTACAAAGCTGGTTGTTCCTGTTTAAAGCTGGTGGGGTCATAATAAAAAAGACCAGCTTTATCAGAAAAAAGCAAATCCATCACAAACTCAGCCGAAAGATGGTGATTTGATTTTATTCATCATGAAAGCAGTGCAAATTTTTAAACAGCAGATAAAAGTGAAGCCAGGGTTCAAATCCAGGCAATGTGGCTACAAAGCGTGTGCTTACACACAATGATACACTGCCTATCAATTTATTCTCTTATATAAACATGCCATACCTCTTCATCATCAGACCCAAAAAGATCAATGTCATCATCGTCTTTACTATCCGTAGCTCCACTTCCTGTGGTGTCTTCAACATCAGCAGGACCATACTTGCCCAAAGCTTTCTTCACCCCTGGCAGGCTTGAAAAAAATTTAAATTTATATTAGGTTGGTATAACATCCATTTCTAAACAATACAGGAGAACTTTACCACTGCTTCATACTAATAATTTACCCTTTAACACACTCCCAGGTAAATAATACTCTTATACTTTTAACTCCTCACCCAACAAAAGTTAGTACCGTGTGAGACATTATATTCAATACTCACTATGATTTACTCTTTCAGTATGAACATTTCTGTTTGAGATTTAAGTACGCTCAGTTCCATTCTTAGTGAACTGGAGTCCATTTCCCCAAACTTCCACCCTTGTTGGCAGTTTCAGAAGAATGGCCAAGGACTGAATGAATGAGCCACCCTCTCACCCCAGAGGTGGCCCCCCTACGTCAGGGTCGAAGCACATTGGCAGGGCAGTGTGGGGAAAAGTTGAACTGCTGTTGTCCATGTTCTACCTGTTCTGTGAAAAAATGGAGGACTTCAGTCTTTTGGCCTTCTAAGGTCACAAAGAAATTTAGCTTACAGTATCCCAACAAAACTAAAGTAGCCTGGGTCCAATTTTGTTAAGGGAAAATCCTGATTAAGCTTAGAAAGCAATCTTACTCTTCAAATAGATAAATTTTACCTGGCCTTTTCTTTTTCATAAGACATGATGTGATTATACCAACGTAGAGCATGACACAAGTCAGCAGGCGGTGGGCCGGAGACTGCTTCAAATACTGCCACATCTGCTTGTGATGGCACATACCTGCTCATGATACAAAAACAATTACACACGCTTAAAAAAAAAAAAAAAAGTCAGCCCAGGCACCGTCCCCCCCCTCCCTCCCTCTCTCGCGCTCCCTGTCTCTCGGCTCCACTCCCTCTCTCTCCGCGCCGGCCGGAGGCGGTAGTTGCCAGTGGGCGGGAGGGGTGGGTCTCGGGAGGAGGGGGCCGAGGAGCGGAGAGGCCCAGCCGGAGCCCGGCTGGAGGGAGCGTCCGCCGCCGCCGCGCTCCCGGGCCGCCGGGGGGAGTTGATTAGTGGGAACTAGCCTGGTAGTTTTTTAATACGCTCCTTAAGATCAGAGACCATCTGTTTGGGTCGCCACCACGCTGTCCTGAGGAATGAATGAATGCCTGCCACTTAGTACACCTCAAAGACTGCAATCCTTAACATAGCTCTATCTACAGGATAACATTATTAACTTGGCAAGCAAAGACATGGAAAATCCTGACTGGATCGAGTGGGTGCAAATAAAGCATACTTTAACTCTTCCCCCTTGCAAGGCCCCCAGACCTCCGGTGACTGAAAACTGGCACTTTCTACCTCAACCTCGGGAGGGTCCTGGGGCCCGGCCTTCTTCCCTCCCGCGGCAGCGGAGGCTGCGCCACGTGGCCCCGGCCCTAGAAGTTCCATGGCGGCCCCGTCTCGGCCCGTCCGCTCACCCCTCGATGTAGCTCTTGTCCGCCAGGTAGTCGTTGAGCACCTGGAGCCCGGCGGGGCTTTTCAGGTCTCCGAAACCCATAGCGTCGACTGTACCAGAAAGCCGGGTAGCAGCGGAAGGAAAGGGGGCAGCTAGTCAGTGCCCGGCGCTAAGACGAAAAAAAGGGCCCGGAAAGGGCAGAAAATTCCTTATATAGAGACGGAGGCGTTTCCCTCCACCGCACCCGGCCGTAGGTTAAAGGTCAAAGTACGGTGGTATTCTCCCTCCTCCACGTAAAAATTGGGGGCTCTGAATTTGTTCACAAATTATCCGGGACCTTTCGTTGTGCTTAGAAAAAAATAATAAAAAGGGTATTTCTTTAATTCCTACCTCCACAGCTCCCGAAGACTACAGGAACCGCCCCTTCAAGAGCCGGAGATGACCGAAGACGTTCGGCCTCTGGGCTGCCAGCCACTTCCGGCGGAACTGCGGGGCCAAGTCGTCCTTCCCGCCTCCACCTCCTCACCGCTGCTCCGACCTCCGCCCCGCCCTCTGCTAGGCTGACGGAAATTGCCGAACTCAACCTTAGCGGAAAATTTGTCGAATGTGGGCTTTCTAGTCCCTCCTGGCTTGCCGTTCTCCAGGCCCGGATGACAGAGTTAGCCGAGGCCGCCATATTGAATGAGTGACCCGGCCTTTTTAGGGGATTGTTGTGGTCCTGACAGTTCAGCAGAGCAGCCTCGGCGGCGGCTTCGGGGAGAAGGTGAGGCAGTGTTTGGGTGGGAAGGCTGAGGTGCCTCGGCCAGGGGTTTATTTCTTGACAGGACTGTTTTCTTTAGCCCTGGCAATTCATTCTCCTCTTGTCCTTGACTGGTGCCGCCTCCCGCCCCGGCGTCTCGGGAGCCCTAGAGAGCCGGCAGGTGAGGGCTGTTAGTCACGGTCTGTGGTCTAATGAAGCAGAAGGGAGGAGAAGGATCAGGAGGCCTTCCGGAGCGCTGGCCTGAATGCAGGCTTGTGGGCAACCTTCCCTCTGCAGGGAAAATGCAGGGCATTCCCGTCTCAGAGAAGGAGGCCTTTTGTTCCCCGGGAGAGGATCTGTGTCAGGTGACTTAGACACAGATCGTTAAAGACAGCATTTCCCCCCAGATCTCCACATACCTGATACAGTACGTCATGGTTTGGTCGCTAATTGCCTTAGGAACCGTCCACGCCTGTGATTGTTCTTTGGGGGTTTTTTGCTTGTTTGGTCCATTGACCATGTTGAGTAGCCCTTTTTATTCCTTTCACCGGTGGGGAACTGAGAAAAAGGACTTTTAAAAGGTCGCACTGCGAATAACAGAGCTACGTTCTTTACAAGTTCTTGGGATCTAACGCATGTACTGTAAGATCGTGAATCAGACACAACTCTGTTCGCACACGAATTGACAGTATAGAAAATGTAACGTGAACTGTTTTTGGTGAACAAATATCAAGCTTTTGTTTTCTTAAGGAATTTCTTCCCCGCCGTGTTGTGCATCATTAAGCGGAGTGTTATACAAAGCTTCCAGAGCACCTGCGCTTTTTAATTCCAGGAAAGTTTCTACAAATTACGGCTAGAGATTGGAGATTCAGTTCACTGAGCAAATAGTTATTGAACGTCCACTATAAGCCAGAAATGAGTTCATAAAGAAGAGTAAAATGGGTGATATGACTGGAGAGTAGTCATGAAATTGTAGATAGGCTAGTTAAAGATTTATTCACTGAGCAAATAGTTATTGAACGTCCACTATAAGCCAGAAATGAGTTCATAAAGAAGGGTAAAATGGGTGATATGACTGGAGAGTAGTCATGAAATTGTAGATAGGCTAGTTAAAGATTTGAAGGATAGGGGCCGGAAAGATCTGAGAGAAGAGCAGTTCCGTCTAAGGCCACAGCCCGTGGGAAAAGGGAAAGAGGCTGTGGAACAGTGTGAAGTAGGGAAACCTTTTAGGCTATTGGAATAGTCCAGGCAAGAGGTGATGGTGGCGTGGAATAGCGTGGTAACTTCGAGGGAAGAAGATGCGGGACACATGGTGGATATCGTGGAGTGGTATACTCCCTATACCGAAAAGTGTCCGGTCTAATTTTAGAAATGATTGGCCATTTAACCATCTTTTCCGTTCTTGGTAGATAAGTTTGTTTAAAGTATATATATATCAAAGTGTTGCTAATCTGTATTTCTTATGTTGGGGCTATGCAGTGTTCCATCTGATGCTGTGTCTTCAGCAAACATCCTAGTAGTTCTGGTTAATTTCCTGTCTAAAGTGGACACTACTTTTGTACTGTATTGGAGACAAACAAAATAATAGTATTAAAGTTTTAAAATTGTTGTATGAAATACTGATTGTTGATTTAGTCTGTCAGTACATTAGTTTTAGGAGTTGTATGCCAAGAAAAGGGCCAAATATATTTCACAGTATCACATACTAAAATAAAATTTATCACTAACCAGGCTGGCCAGTTAGCTCAGTTGGTTAGAATTGCAGCGTTATAACACCAAGGTCAAGGGTTCAGATCCCTGCACATGCTAGCCACCAAAAAAAAAAAAAAAAAAGGAAAATAAACATCTGTATCTTCATCTAGAATCAAAGCCTGAAATCCCACGGAGTGGCTTGTGCCAATTCTGTGCTTCTGAGAAGACCAAGTCAATTAATTATTTGAGAACACCTAGTCAAGGGTTTGGATTCTGGTACAGGCTAGTCACCAAAAATAAAAATAAAATTTATACTAAGGTCACGGGTTCAGATCCCTGAACTGGCCAGCCGCCAAAAAAAAAAAAAATTATTACTAGCCTACAGTTCAGCAACTGGAATAATAAAGATATATAAATATAAAGAGTGTGTGCTGGTAGTAAAGAGAAAGTGCACAAAAGAAGAGCACTGCCTAAAGTGCCTAAATTGTACTGCCTAAATTGAATTTAGCTTTATCTGGCATTTGTTGAGCTCCTATAATAGTACATAGCCTAGGAATTATTGTTTTCGCCGTGCTCTGTAAATAAAGAACCAGAAACTGATTTACCAAAAATCACTCATTGTTAGGTAACAGACTTGATGTTTGCTGCAAATTCTGAATTAAAGGAATTAATGAAGTCTGAGTTAATGAAATTTTCTATTATATATTATCTGTGATAAGTGTGCAGAATTTTGTGCTTAAAACTTATGTATATGTACTATTTTCCAATAGTACTGTTGCAACTTTTGAAATTTTTTTACTGTTGAAGTTTTTTGTTGATACATTCTAATCACATAATTTGCATTTTTAATATCTTTAAAGGTTCCAAATAAGAAAGTATGACTTTAGATACTTAGCCCATATGATCAAGTGAGTAGACAAAAAAACTCTTAAAAGTTCAGGTAACTTTTCTTTCTGTTTGCTTATGTATTTCTTTACTAAAGTGTGTTTTTATTTTAATGTAATCCACTCCCATTTTTTTCAATAAATCAGTAAACCTTTTAGAGCAGTGTCTCAAATTCAGCACTGTTGACATTTTGGATAATTCATTATTGTTGGGGGACTATCCTGTGCATTGTAAGATGTTTAGCAGAACCCTGCCCTTTACCTACTAGATGCCGAGAGCTTCTCCCCACTTGTGACAACATAAAGTGTCTCCAGACATTGCCAAATAGACCCTGGGGAGCAACCAGTGCTTGAGAACCACTGTTTTAGAGCTTACTGTGTGCCAGCCACGTGGGGTTGGTTCTGAAGATAGAAAGATTCAAGGAGTTCATAATGCAGTTGAGTGTAGAACAGGCGTGTAAACAGATAATTAAAATCTGATGAAAGGGGCCGGCCTGTGGCTCACTCGGGAGAGTGCGGTGCTGATAGCACCAAGGCCCCGGGTTCAGATCCCATATAGGGATGGCCGGTTCGCTCACTGGCTGAGCGTGGTGCTGACAACACCAAGTCAAGGGTTAAGATCCCCTTACCGGTCATCTTTAAAAAAAAAAAAAAAAAAATCTGATAAAAGATAAATGTACTAGTCAGCATAGAAGATGGCTCTCAAGATACTTCAAAGGTTTGGACTTGTGAGTTGTTTCAGAATATCTCAGCAGCAGTTAGTAGATAACTGTGCCTAGGACGTACAGTGATAGAATGCACATTGGTAGGAAATGAGGGAAGACAGGTAGACTTTATTTTATATAGCCATTGATGATAAGCTCACTGTTTTTCTTGCATTTTATTTTACTATATGGTAGTGTTTTAAGTTTGATCACTTCCTTATAGTTAAAAAATAGCAAAATTGGCTTTTATATAGAATCAGAAAGCCCAAATTTATACACTGGCTGCTCCTTAGCTTCTTGACATTGTGTAAGTTAGTCAGTGTCTCTGAGACTGAGTATTCTCATCTGTAGTGACATGTTCGTGAAGTACTTTGAAGCCATAATTACATTACTAAAATTTTGTAATTAGGTGTTCCCCCCCAACAATAGTATAATTCTTCTTTGTTTTATTTTTAGCAATATGTTAAGGATACCTGTAAGAAGGGTCTTAATAGGCATTTCTAATTCTCCTAAAGGATGTGGTGAGTATTTTTTTTTAATTTGTCTTTGTGGATGTTAAGACTTTTTATCTTTGTAAATTCATAGGTCTATGGAATATTTCTTCAAACACCTTAAACTCATAATTTGTTTTAAATAAAAAGAGAAAAAAATGGACTAAGTTAAATAGAATAATTTTCAAAATATAATTTTACGTTAAACAGTTTACAGAAATTATGGAATAGAAAGTATTAGGGATTACCCATCAGTGCCAAAATGGAAAAATCTTGGTGAGAGCATCACCTTGTAACACCAGGGTAAAGGGTTCAGATCCCTGTACCAGCCAGCTGCCAAAAAATAAGAAAATAAAAAAATAAAAACATCTGACTCCAAAAAGGAAAAACCACAGTCATTCTGTTTTTGAAAGGTGGTCTTCCAATGAACATACTTCAGTGATATTAAAAGTTTTAGTTTAAACTATGCTTAAAAGTAGACAACCATATTCTCTTTAGTATTCAGGATTGAAAAAGCTTTTTTGTAATTCAGTGTTTTAAAAGTTTGCATCTAGAGAAATAGAGAGGAATAATATAAAATGAAGAAAAATTTTAGACTTGTAGGTAGAGTTAATTAATCCATTATCCTCTACTATATAATAAATTCAACTCTGTTAATTTGTCTTTCACCTTAATATTTTTGATGGTAAGTTCGAACAGCTGCCACAGCAGCAAGCAACTTGATTGAAGTATTTGTTGATGGTCAATCTGTAATGGTGGAACCAGGAACTACTGTTCTCCAGGTAGGCATATGTTCTAATTCTTTATTTTTGTGTGTGTGTGTTTTGATTTTTGAAAAAAACATCAATTTTTTCCTTGATGCTGTTTATTTACTTACGAAAAAGAACTACAGATAGCAAAATTATATGAAAATAGATTGATTTTAAATTTTGGAATTTCAAAGTGAGCTATTTATCTGTTTCTGGCATTCTTAGTGAACTCGGGTCGTTTTTCTGTTTCACTTTTGCCTTCCAAATGAATACCCATTATGAAATTTGAAGTTACCTAAAATAAATGATTAGTTACTATAGGTAAGTTTGTGAAAAGTAACCTTAGATTGTTGTGGGCCTGCTTGATACTTTTCACTTTCCTGTAACCTTACTGCTTTTATTAATATTTCTAGGAATGTGTCCTACAAAGTGGGTAAACGGAGGGTTGTACGTTCTTAAATTTATGCCCTAAATATTTAATTTCTCCAGATACCTTCAGAAATAACAAATTTGGTCATGGATAAGTGATGCTTCATTCCATCTGCATGTTATCACAGAGCTAAATGTTCTTTGTTCATTTCAGCAGTCATTTCTAGATTATTTGCCAGGCATAGACATGCAAGCACTAAATATAATATCATATATAACAAAAGTATGTTCAAGGTACAGTGGAAAGTATTGTGGCAAAGGTAGGAAGTGGTAGAAAGAGATGTCAGGGGTATCTCAGGTGATCCCTGAGATTTTAAAGGATGAATAGGTTTTTTTGTACGTGAACAAGAAGGGCGTGCATTTCCCATAGATAAATAATTAGCTAAGGCAGATAGCTTGTTGTGTTTAGGAAGTTTGAAATAGTTTGGTATTGAAGAAACATAAGGTATATGTAGAAGATGAGATGACAAGAAATCAAATTATTGAGGAAGATAGGGTCCAGTCATGAAATACAGTATCTGCCATGCAAAAGAGCTCGTAGCTGAAATAGTTTGGTATTGAAGAAACATAAGGTATATGTAGAAGATGAGATGACAAGAAATCAAGTTATTGAGGAAGATAGGGTCCAGTCATGAAATACAGTATCTGCCATGCAAAAGAGCTCGTAGTTTGACTCATTGGGAGTTTTAGTGGCTACTAAGTAGTGTGACAGTGACTGAAGAGGATGATGGTTTGGAGGGTACCAAAATTGGAATGAGCAACAAGGAAACAGTGTCTTGTACTAGTGGAGCAGGAAATGAAAAGGCCTAAAATACATAGTGACAATGGGAATGAAAACAGGGTACACTTAAGGGAGAATGTAGACAGATAGGCATTTAGGAATGATGAAGAGCAGAATAATTTTTGTGATTTTCTGGCTTTGGTAGCTTATTTGGGGATGTATGGAGGGAGCAGAAATAGGTTGAATTTAAGCTATCTAACATATATGCAAATGCGTATTTGAGTCTGAAGCTTGAAGAAGTGGAGGACTGTCAGCTGCAGATGAAAGTTTGTACATAATCATCATTTGGAATGTGAGCTAGTATGAAGGCTGGGACAATGTCTCATGTTCACCTATTACATCTAGCACATAGGAAACACTCAATACATTTTTGCCAACTAAATAAAGACATTGGAAATTGATGAGATTGCTTTAACGTGAGGGCTGAGGATGGAAGAACTAACTCTAGAGGAAAATTGAACATGTTTGCAGGCTAAAAGAAGGAGGGGCTTGCAGAGAAGGAGAGGTGATAATTGGTAGAGAGCAGGGCTAATCCTCTTTACTTGGCAAACAGAAACTGGTAAGAGCTTCAGCACAGTGGGAGTGTGAATCCTGGGTGGGGTATAGGAAGCCAAAGATAGAACTAGATCATAGCCAGCTAGGTGGTGTGAAATGAAGTTTGTAATCCAAAGGAGGGGAGTGAGGCAAAGAGGAAGTCCAGGTATGAAACCATTGATACAGAGTTTGAAGGGGGAGCCATTGTGGGCAAGGTTCATAGCAGATCTGGGAAATCAAGCCTTCACCACAGTCTGAGGACACTTTATCCAGTTTCTTCCACACAAGGTGAAGGCAGTCTTTAGATCCTCTGAGGCAGCTTCAGAGCAGACAGGCGTTGGGCTCAAAAGCAAAGAAGTAAGGAAATCTCTTCAGGGACTGAAGTAAGAATGGATGAAGACATAGATATTTATAAATAGGAGTAGTAATAAGATAGCCTCTTTTTTTTTTTTCACTTTTCTGTGTTTCAGCAATAATGGGTCAAGTTATTCAAATAAAAACATTTTGACTTTGTCTTCTAGGCTTGTGAGAAGGTTGGCATGCAGATCCCTCGATTCTGTTATCATGAAAGGTTGTCTGTTGCTGGAAACTGTAGGATGTGCCTTGTTGAAATTGAGAAAGCTCCTAAGGTATCTAAAATTCCATACCTTGCTGTGTAAGGTAGCCTGGAAAGGAAGGCAATTTTTGTTTGGTGGAAGAAGAGGAATGTTGTTTTCAATGTTTTCTGCATATGTCAATAAAATGAATAAGTTGTTCACTTTTACTTTAGTTTGGATTTAAAAATTAAAATCTAGGGCCGGCCCGTTTGGGAGCATGGTGGCGCTCCCGCCGAGGGTTCGAATCCCACATACAGACCGGTTCCCACTCACTGGCTGAGCGAGGTGTGGGAGCAACACCGAGGGTTACGATCCTGTTGCCGGTCCCGGTCAGGTACGGGCGCGACACTGAGGGTTGCCGGACACGAAAAAAGACAATAAGGAAAAAAAAAAATTAAAATCTACAAGCATTCACTCTGTGATAACTTTCTGAACTGTACACATATGATTTGTACGGTTTTCTATTTGTGTGTTATACCTCAAATTAGATGCAAACATTTATTGAATTATATTTTATACAGGGACTATACTTGCCATTGAAAACATACTCATGTCTTTTTATTTTTTTATTTTTTTTATTATTATTTTTTTGTCTTTTTCCGTGTCCGGCAATGGATCACAACCCTCAGTGTCGCACCCGTACTGGACTGGGACCGGCAACGGGATG